CTTTCTAATATAAATCATAACTAAAATTCAAAACACAATACTTATAAGTATACTAATTGTAGATGTCCAAACATAAATTAGAAACTTAATTACAATGAAAGACCATAATAAAAAGAGACAAAAGTGTATAATTTATTTTCTTTATTTTAGTTTTCTAAATCCGAAACCAAACCAAAAACCATACAAAGTAAATTATTAATTCAAAACCTAATAAAAAACCAATCTAAATAAAAATTTGGTTTGATTTTTTTATTTAATCCAAATAGTGTCAAAAGTATATTTGCCCCATTTTTCTAACGAAGGTTATATCCATGTATGTGCTCATTTTCCCCATAATTAATCAAATAGGAAATATAATACTACTTATTAGGGTGTTGTATTTCCGCGGAGTAGCTCATGAATTTTGATTTATCAACTCAGCAGCAGAGTATAAGACAAACACTGAATAGAAAAGTGAACAAATTGAGGGAAAAAGAAGAGATGCCAATGTGAGAGGACCAAATACACACCCAACCATTTTAGCATACTTTGAACAAGTAATTTTATATTTTTACTTACAAAATGTGTTCGTTGTCTATCAAAATTGTTGTAATTTTTTCTTAGGTCCGTGTCATGTGGCAGAGATAGTTTTTTCTGAATTTCATGGTATAGAAAAAGCTGTATTACTATATAGTATATGGGTATGTGGGATAATATGTTAGGTACAAATTTTGTTTCCCCAGTTTTCTCGGTTTGAAAAATACAAATATAGTGTTTGAACTTGGGATTTCCTTAATTATTAAGTTAACTTTTTATTATGTTTAGGAAGTTTAAATATCTATTATATTAAAAATAGATGATTATTTTTTTTTATTTAATTTTATCAATTAGTTTTAATTTATTTTTGTTATTAGTTATAATTATTTTTCAAAGCATTAATTTATTCTATAATAAAATCAGCATGTTATTTGTTCCTCGTTAAATGATGTGTCATGAGTAAAACGAGCAGGAGCAGAGGTGGAGCTAGGTGGGGGTTCGTGGTTTCAGACGAATCCAATAACTTTTTCATAGATCTTGTATTTGTACTAGAAAATTAAATAAATAAATATGTGTATATTAACTTGTGAACCCCTAACATAATTGATTGACTGTTCAGTAGTAAGGAAGAGACGTGAAAATATTTTTCAAGCTAAAGTTGTAGTTCCGAATCCCCTCTTATTTTCTAAAAAAAATTAGAATTCCCAAACTCTTAATCTTGAATTCGCCTATGAGTAGGAGTACAACAAAGTGGAACAATTCTTTTCTTTTCTTAATATATGTATCCTACCTAATAATTCACTTAACAAGAACCAAAGAAAGTATAAATTCGTGTCTTAAATTCCCAGATGAGATTTATTTTGGAACACACTTTTTTTCTGCTAAAGTAACACTTATTTGGGATGGAAGGAGTTCTAGTACACGATACAATATCTTTGGAAATTTAGTCAAAGTTTGAATTAAGGTAAGTATAATATCCAAGATTTTTATCAACTTATTCTTGACTTAAATTTGAAATTTGGAGTTTCAGATGAATTTGGGATTTGGACTTTCTAAAATTTATAATAATTTTTTAATTTGAAATAGTAATATTAATAGTAGAGTTCACAATCAATTATTATAAATACTCAACATTTGTTTAAGAGAAAAATGTCAAAAACATATCTAAACTCTCCATATTTTTTTAGTTTCATACTTAAACTACTGAGGAGTTTCATAACTAAACTATCACTAGTGAGTTTTAGAAATACATCCCTCTATATTATTACATTCTCTTCATGGTGTGTACTACACTCTCTCTTTTATTTAAAAATTAATTGTCACATCTCACTCCATATGGACAAAACATTCCACCTTGGCAAAAATTAAATAAATTATTAGTATTAGTTAAAATTAAGGATTAAAGAATTATTAACCTAAAAAATAATATATTTTTTAAAACATTTTTCTTACCCCCATTCTATCACATCTTCTCACCGTACCCCCCCCCCCACCCCTCATTTTTTTTGTTTAAATTTCTTTAATAAAAGTATTTATTTTTTCCTTCATCTCCCCCCTCAAATCATAATTTAGATATTTTTTTATTTTAAATAATAATTTTACCCCAATCCACCTAACCCTTCGCTTTCAATTTTTTTCTCGTTTTGTGTTAGATATATACATATATTCTTAGGAAAAAATATTTTACTTATCGCCGCAAGACTTAAAACCAAAGTTTTATTTATGTTATATTCAGTACACAAATAGAAAAATTATTCCTAATTAAAAATATATGTACATATCTAACACAAAACGAGAAAAATGTAAAAAAAATAAAAAAAAATTAGGAGCTGAGGGTTAAATAGGGTGGAGTAGAACTTTTTTAAAAATAAAATAAATAATATCATTTTTTTGGGGAATGAGTGGGTGGTTTGGGGGGAGGGGAGGGTGAATGATGAATTTTTTAAAAATACTTTATAAAAGAAATTTAAAAAAAATAAAAGAATGGGGGATTGTCTGGGGGGAGGAGGTGGTGGAGTGGGTAAGAAAATAATTTAATTATTAATAGTTTATTATTTTATTTTTGTCAAAGTGGAATATTTTATCCATATGGAATGTCGTGTGTCAAGGTTTTTTTCAAAAAAAGAAAAAGAGAGTGTATTACGCATACCACTGAGGTGTGTTTCTCAAACTAATAAGTGATAATTTATGTATGAAACTCACACTCTTAATAGTTTAGGTATAAAACTAAAAAATAAGGAAATAATTTATGTGTGTTTTTAACACTTTATCTCTTTATTTAATGTAGGGAAAAAAGACAAATATACCCCCGAACTTTCGAAAATGGTATGTCAATACCTTCGTCATACTTTTCGTTCATCAAAGCCCTTGCCGTCCAATAATCAGTGCACATTTACCCTTCCCACTAACTGATCACTTATTGTGTACACGTGGCACAATCCTACGCCACAACCCGAGTTGACCAATTTTTTAACCAAAATTTCAAAACCTACCCAAAACCCATTTAACCCACCCGATTTACCCACAAATAAACTCTCTAAAATTAACACTTTAGAGACAAATTATACTCTAAAGTGTAATTAATCATAGTTGATTAACATGTATTACACTTTATTAAATTATTTAATCATGATAAATTATACTCTCTCCGTTTAAAAAAGAATGGTCTAGTTTAACTTGGAACGGAGTTTAAGAAAAGAAAAAAGATTTTTTAATCTTTTGGTTCTAAATTAAAGTTATGTCAATGTACCAAAATGCCCTTTGATTACATGAATGGATAGCTAAATTGGATTTCATGAATGGATAGCTAAGACGTTAAGGAACCCATACGACTTTACGGAATTGAATTCGGGCGAGTAAAACTTCTATCCTACTATCTGCTTTTGAATATGTTGCTTGTATTCATCCTAGAGCCGACATATTGAGCTTAATTATTGTTTGTTGTTTTTTGTTCAAATTATCCAAAGAGTTGTGTTTTCAATCAAATGGAAAATACTGTATACCTTTTGGATTCCCAGTGCAGGCACATCAGAGGAATATACCTATTGTAATTGATGCAGAAAGTAAAAGAGAAAGGGTAGGTGACCTTCTAAAGTTGGCAACTTATGTCGTATGCTCAGCGAGATTTCCACAGGCAAGTTAGCTACACTGACAAATTGCAATGACACTGTTCCTTTGCTGCGGAATTTCAATTTGATATCTGGTGATCTGCTTCTAATTCTTAGTTGCTAATAAAGTCTAGGAGTGAAATTTGTTGTCTCCCCTATTATAATTCGACGACAAAGTCCCTTCCTCCCTCGGTGTGTTACAACTTAAAGCTTTAATCCCTTGCCACTGCTTACCACATAATTGGGGATTAAAATTGTTTTCAACCACTCTTTTTTAAAAAGGTGAAATAGTGTTAATTTTTCTCCTCCTAGCTCAAGAGGTTAGGATCACCCAAGATCATATAAAGAGACCAATTTCTTGTCATCCAACCATATGGAATCATCACCCCACACGCCCAGCACCCTGGACTGGACATCTAGTGCATGGGAAATTTAATATGGGCCCCAACATTTGTAAGTCATGAATTGCTATAGGCTTGGCTCTGATACCATGTGATGGACCTTGGGCCTAACCCCCAAAGTTAGCTCAAGAGGTGAGTATTGTCCACGACCGTATAAAGAGACCAATTTCTCCTCATCCCGCCGATGTGGTACTCATTAATATTTTTTGCCCTTTTGAGCTTGACAAAAGATGTATTGTCTCACAGGTATGGACAGAGGCCCCTTCAATCCCAGCTGCTCTAGTTTCTGTACTTCTAAAGTTGCCAAACATCAAATTTGTAATTGTGACATTGGGTGAAGATGGCTGCATGATGTTAGAAAGGGCTGAAGCTGGTATGCTTGCATTATTTTTTTTGGTTCTTCTGATGTATGTTTAAGTGTCTGCTTGTAGGCAAACAAATTGTTTTGAAAGATGAACAAGAGGTGTACGTATTTACTTTTCACTATTGGGTTGATTTGCAGAGGATGTCCAGTCTGAAGAAATTGATGTCGATGAGTTGTTCCAGAAAATGAAGCAGAGTATTGATACTGACGCAACTAGTGCAACATCTATTTCTTCGGTAATTCACCAATTAGAAGATTTATGATTCAATAAACGACTGAAGCATGGCCACAGTGCTCATGAACTAATAAAAATCTGTGCACACAATTCATTTTGTTCTAGTCCACCACTGTAAAGTGAATATCTACTGTGGAGTGGGAGTCATGTATGGTTTCTTCCTGGCTAGTACCCTTTTTCTAGTACGTCATGACATTCATCTTTACAAATATGAATTGCCTCCACATGTTCTCTTGCAGTCGTACCATTACTCATCACCCTCTTAATTCTTTTAATTGGAGACTTCTTGGTGCTGCTTATGATTTTTTTTTTCTCCCCAACACTTCTTATGAAGCTGAATAAACTAAAGTACACGTCTTCTTCTAGGATATTGCAAAAGGCATTGGCACAGTGAGTGGGAAGCTGCTTCTTGGAACAGCTGAAAAGATACCGCTATCAGAATTAGTCGATACAACTGGTGCAGGTGATGCATTTATTGGAGCAGTTCTGTATGGTAAGCAAAATTACACTCTGCAGTCTTTATACCTAATGTTCTTCCTTTAAATGTGTTATATTCCTGCATCACCCTTTTTCCCTCTACCTGTGACAATTGGATCGAGAGATTCTATAAACCTCAATCCATTTTCTTACTTCCTTTCTGGATGTTATTGTTTTTTTCTTTAGTCTTACGTGTGTTTATATCCATGCAAGTTTAAATATATGGCATTGTTCCCTTCACGCTTGATAAGGGTTTGTAATGTTTCATTTCTCATGGATTTCCCACTTGCAATCTGCAGCTCTCTGTGCCAATATGCCACCAGAAAGAATGTTGCCATTTGCTTCTCAAGTGGTTAGTAGACTTTAGCTTTGTGTCTTATGTAAATTGTAAATGTAAAAGAAGCTAACTTGTGCATTGTGGGTTCATTGCAGGCAGCTATCGGGTGTAGGGCATTGGGAGCAAGAGCTGGTCTTCCCCAGCTAACAGACCCTCGATTGAAACCCTTTTTAGTGAACGATCCCCAAAACGTGGCCACATTGCTATAGAAGAGAGCACAAATCAAAGCTATTGTCAACTTGGGATTTTTTTTTCTTATAGTTTTTTCTGTCTTGACATATGTTCTGCAACATTTGTAACATTTTATGTGAAAGATTTGCCCATTGAGCACAAGGCCTTCTGAATATCGTTATTGTGAGGCATATAATGAGTTTACTTACTATGCAATGTGATGTATAATTTTTCTTTCTGGTAGGTTCTACTTCTACACTGCTTTTTGTACCAACTATTATGTGTTTTTCATTGTTTTTTATTCTTTTATTTGGGTGAAGTTTCCGAGCACTCTAGCCTCCCCATACCCCACTTAGTGGGATTTCACTGGATATGTTATTGTTGTTGTATCAGTTAAGCTGAATGACAACACGAAGTAGCCCTATATAATAAGTCTAATGTGGTAACGTGGAGAGTTAAAACTGTTAAAAGAAAATAGCGAAAAGTTTGAATTAAAAATTTATCAAAAATGAAAAGAGACATTCTTTTAAGAGGTTCCTTCTTTTAAAACGGATTAAATTAAAAGAGGAAATAGGATTATTAAATTGAAACAGAGGGAGTTCAACCTAGGTACTTAGAAGGATAAATCATATCTTTTCCCAGTAAGTTTGTGTTCAGTCATGAAAAAAATATTTTACCAATAACAGAAACATGCTTGGAGAAATAATTATAAAAAAAAACCAAGAAAAGGTTCAATATCATATTGACATGGAATCACAAATCAAAAGATAACAACTTTTGGCTAAGTGATAATAATTGTAATACATATGACAAGGTCAGTTATGGAATAAACTAGAGAAATTTACTACAAATTGAGAAACTTGCACAACCAAGAAATTCAACGTTTGAAATGGCAAAACTTTCTTTATTTAATTTTTTAAACAGAATTATTTCTTCCCAATTTCATTTTTTTCCTCTATCCACATTCAAAATTAAAAAAATAATAATAATAAGGCTCAAGCTTTGTGATTATGTATAGTAGTTGACAGCATTTGCTGTACAAACTGAACTTAATGATCCTTTTAGCCTTTATAACCTTTATATCCTCTCATGAAATCTAAAAAAAAGAAAAAAAGAATAAAAAAAGGAGGAGGATCAAGACCCTTTCAAAAGTACTACTACATTAATAGTAGTAGTAAGTCTTATTTTTTTCCTCCCCAGATGTTCAATACCAATATTGAAATCAGACTAATTCAGATTCATGTTGAATAAGACCTAAATGGTGGTAGTGCTCCAAGTAACAAGACTTTTAACTAAACGTATACTGCCCAATAGTAGTTTATTTGTATTCCATCCATATTAATTTATATGACAATATTAGTTTATTAGTATCCCATCCATATTAATTTATATGACTGTTATGTCTTATAGACCTATACCACAAATTCATAATGTTAGTTAGGGCTCGAGAGTTGAGAGTGACATTTCTAAAAGTTAACATGTAAAATGTTGACGGTTGGAATATCTTTTTCTTCGATACACAATTATTACATCGAAGTTTGATTTACTATACCAAATTTTAAAAATTCAATATTTGATATCTACTTTCAATTATCAATTACTAAATTAGCAAAATTAAACTTTGGACATATCGAACTGAATACAGAATGCTCAACCCCTTCTAATACTGGCTACAAATTTTCAATTGTGTAGTATACATGAAATTTCGTAGAAATTGATGAATGCACTAATGTTGGGTAGTGTTTTGACAATTTCATTCTTTTTGAACCTTCTGACCCACAAAATAGCCCCCAATCAGCCCTTTCCACTCTTTTCCAATATAACCTTATAATGGCACACAATTTTCACAAGGTGCTTCTCTAGACTCTATATATACACACATTAAATCAACAGCTAATTCTATCTACTCCCTTTTATTTCTTCTATCTTGTCTCTTAACTTCAATTTTTTCAATGGCTAATAATTCAAGAATTGGCCTATTTTTGCTCCAAGCATATTCCACTTTCATGGCTACACAATCCTACATTTTCTATATGTACCAGGAACAGAGCACCACAACTTGTTCCCTCACATTTTTTGGATTCTTCTTCACTATTCTCCTCAATTTTCTACAGCTAAAATATCAAGGCAATAACAACACTGATCCTTTTTCGACTCATCCCAAAACCATGAGACTTTCTGTCACTTCTTTGCTCGTATACTGTTTGATATACGCTATTAAGCAGAAATTTTCTCGTCATTATATGTACAGGAAATTCTCCGACCTCGTACACCATGTTATGATTTTCTTTAGTTCTCTATCTTTGGCTTCCACTGCCTCTGTTCTCTTCCCGGACTCTGTTTCCCCTGTTTTGTATTTCCTCTGTTTTCTGCTTTCAGGAGGCGAAATGCTACTTTGGATTTTCGAGAAAATTAAACAAAAATTCGAAGAAGAATCTTATTTGCAGAGAAGGAGGATGAGTGGTGAACCAATTTGGAACAGAGGTTTACTCTTACTGTCTAATTTTGCAAGAAATATACAGTGAATGAGAGATTCTCTGACTTCGTACTATGTTTATTTCTCATGCATGTTGCTTCAAGATTTCAGTTGTTATTGTTGTAATATTAAGTTAGATGGACATCCTGCATGTCTTCGGACCTCGAGTGAACTTGAATTTTGAATTTATGAATTCTAAATTTTTAAAAATATAATTTATTATGTCCTTGATCAATTTTTCTACTTATGAACAAAAATATAATATTTGTGCCAAATTTACGATACCTATAGAGCATAGGCAACATTCTTACTCGGGCCTCGTAATTATTCTTCATATGAACTCAATATGGTATTCTTTGTTTCTCTCGTCAAGTGTCAAATTATTCACATGATTGGGGCTAACCTATAAACTTCTGCTTAGGTAATCAACATAAATTAATTTATTGCTTTTTTGACAAGTAAAAATGAATGAGTGATAATATAGACGAATCAAAATTTAAAGGAAATCCCGAAAGTTCTAAAAACAAGATGATTAGAAGGAAAATAGTATATTTTCCCTAACAAATTTGAGTTCATTCGTGAAAAAACATTTTCGCCAAGAATAGTGCATGTGGAAAGTATCCTCCAAAGTGCAATAAAATTAATCCCTCCGATTTATTTTACTTATCATGTTTTTCTTTTGCAAATTCTTCAAAAAATTATTAAGTTAAAAAGTAATTTGCATAAATTATCTTCTTCTTTTTTATATCTCAATTTAATAACAATTTCTTTTTCACCACATTAATCAACTTTTGTCATATTTATTGAGCAAGGATAAAGGTGGAACTAATGATTATTTCTATCTTAATCATATAATGAGTAGTAAAAATTAATTTTACGGTAAATGGCCTAAAATTCTCTTCAACTATATGAATTGATACTAAATTATCCTTCTTCTATCTTTCGGACCTAAAATGCCCTCGACATCAACCAATTCCAAGTTGTTTTGGAGATTCAAAAGAAGTAGTAGGTGTTGGAGCTAGTATGCAAGAACTTTATATCGAAGCAATTCAACTGGTTAATCTCCGGGTGTGAAGCGCAATTCAACATTATCAATGGATTTGGGGATGAAAGGTTTGATTAAAATATTTGGGGATTTTTACGGGTGGGGCTTTCGGATGGAAGCCTGGATTTGATCTTTTGTTAATTGAGATTATGATTTACTATGAGGACAAAATAGAGCCAAAAGATTGATATCGAAGGCATTTTAAGTCTGAAAGCATAATTTTGTACCATTTTACATAGTTGAGAAGTATTTTAGGTCTTTTTCGTTAATTTTAATAAGCACGACAAATAAGATAGATTGAAAGAGACTAGCAAAAAGTTTGTTCCATGCCAGATGCTAAAAATTCAACCTTTTAAATAAATCTTTGTTTCCAATTTATTCTCCCTTTCCCTATCCAATATCCACTTTCCTCGTCCAAAATAAATTTTTAAAAGTATCTACCATTATAATTTATATGTACAAACTGAACTCATTGATCCTTTTAACCTTTTATCCATTCACACTCTCATGAAATCTAAAAAAAAAAAAAAAAAAGGATTAGGTCTTTCTTACAAGTATACTAGCAATTAATATTAGTAGTAAGTCTTTTAACTGAACTTTTATCACACAAAATACTTCATTAATATATTATAACCATCAAACTTTCTATAGCTCTAGTTTATTTTAGATTATAAATTTTAAATTTTATTTATTTTTCTCTTAAATTTTATGTCCAATCAAACACTTTCATGTAAATTATGATAGCAAAAAATATGTTTTTCCACTCTAATTTATGAGTCTTTATGCTAAGTTGTTAACTAAAAAACTGTCCAATTCAATTCAAAATCAAATCAAGTTATCAGTTTTTTTTACTGTAAAAATCAAAGCAAATAATGTCGATTTTAAAAATTCAAAACCAAACAAAATCAAATGTTCTTTTTTTAAGTCAGCTTGATTTGATTTGTGTTTTAGTTTTATTTTTCACCAAACATTGAATACATCTAACTATATATAATACCTATAATGACCAAGGTCATTTTAAAAAGAAAATTTCTATGATTAGTGCAAACTCTTATCTTTGGTTGATATTGTTAACCTGTTGATTGTCAAGAAACACGGCCAAAAATACATCATACTTCTGAAAATTGAAAATTTAACAAGTACTACTAATCAAATATGTGTATTAATTAAACATTGGTTAATTGATAAAAGTGCATGTAAAAGATATATGTGTATATGGTTTCCCTTTAGTGGTTTTTTGAAAGTTTTATTGTTTTAAAATCCAAGTCATCGTCTTATTTAATTCATACGTAAGATAGTTTAATCAGTGTAATTATCATTCTTTTATTTTGTTTCCCTCAAAAATAAATTTTCATGTTACTTCGTAAGATTATTAATCAACATAATTGTGATAAACGAATAAATTATCAATTAACTAAACTTAACTCTTATAACATCACATTTAAAGCTTAATCCAACAGAAACTATTTATTTATTGTTTCTTCGACAAGTAAAAATAAACAGGAGATAATAAAGAT